ATATGGACTTGAGGAATCTGTACTTTTAGTTGCAATCTGGTGGTGCTGGCTACTCTTGTAACTTTGGCCACTGGTCCATGAACCCTTTTGGCATGCTCTGACTTCATGTATTTAACGTGGGGCTTCCACTTTCTTTCAGGCTCATCTCATTGTCTCCTTGTGCTCATCCCATGCTCCCATTCTTCTAGAGAGCCTCGTTTCCTTTTGCTGGAGAACTAACAGTATTTAGAAAGTTCAATCTGGCCACAAGATGTGCTCCTAGCCTGAGCTTTGCCGGTTCCATCTGCCCTTAGCAGACTCAGCTAGAAAATGTGTGTCCATAACTTAAGGATATTCCTGTCTATACTTCACTGTCCATGTCCATGTGAAGCTCACCTTGAATTTACACTGATGTTTGTAACTATGTAATTTACCATTGCTCTGTCCCCAACTCCCATTCAGTATACTTACTGGTTTGTATACCCCCTTTACAGGTAGTACCCTGTATGAGACAAACTTACCTTCAAGAATATAGTGTTTGTGATAGTATTTTTTCTTCAGTCATTTAATATTCAGCCCAAAAATTCTATGAGAAGCACCCCGGGCCAGCTGCTTTCCCTGTGTATCTTTCAATTTTGTGTAACACAAAATTAGCTCATCGTGACCAGCTGTCTGTCCTGGGGACCTCCAACATTCGGGCGATGTTTTTTCTCCACCTGTATAAAGGAAAATTCACCTGGGAGATTATGTTCTGTGAATTTTAACAAATGCCTTGTATCCAGCACCAAAGTATCACACATACAAAGGGTTTCCTTACCTAAGAATTTTCTGCTCTGAGCCTCAAAAGTCCTCTTCGCCCCTACCATCGGCAGCCACTGGGCTGTTTTATGTTTGTGTAATTTTGCTTTTTCTAGAATGTCCTAGAAACGGAATCATATAATATTCATTGTTCCACCTTGCTGCTTTTACTGCTAAGCAGATGCATTTGCCGCGCGTCTACGTGGCCATGGGACTCGCTATTCCATCTCTTTTTCTTGCCAGGTATTTACTGCACAGGTGGAACAAACGCACCATGCTTTGTTTATCCATTTATCTGTGGAAAGGCATCTGGGTTGTTTCTAGTTTTCTGCAACTGTGAGCAGAACTGATATCCACATCTATGTGCAGATTTTGGTGAATGTAAATATTCAATTCAGTGGGGCCATATGGCAAATGTATGTTTATAAGAGATGGCGAAACTTGTTTTCCACAGCAGCTGTGCCATGTTGTCTCCCACCAGCAGTACATAAGAACCCCATGGGAACCCCGTCGCTCGGCTTCCTTGTGAGTGCTTGCCCACAAGACTTTGATTATGTTTGATCCATTTTCATAAGGTTGTAATGATACTTCACTGTGGCTTTAACTTTTATTTCCACAAAAGATCATGGCTATTGATTGAACATCATTTCATGTGCTGATTTGTAATTCACTTTTTAAACTAGGTTGTTTGCTAGGTTGTTGAATTATGAGCAATCTTTATATATTCTGGGTACAAATCCTTGACTTGGCAAGTGATATTCTCCAAATCTGTGATTTGTCTCGGTGTCTTTGCAGAGCAAGTGTGATAAAGCCTGTCACACCTTGCCGCTTTTCCCACGTACCAACATGTTTTGGAGATTCAGTCGTGTTGCAGGAATCGTTTGTTTCTTATTGTGATGAAAAAGTCAATTCCATCTTTCTAGTCAGGTTTCGGATGTGGTATCTCAACTCACTTCCAAATGCAAAGTCCAGAGATTTTGCTCTTGCTTGCTTCAAAACAATTTTAATTCTATGTTTTAACTCAGATTTTTTTTTTAAAGTAAGACTACGTATAGTACATTTTGAATTTACATTTTATGACCACGGAACATCTCTCACATTAGGCATAAATGCTAAATGTGTGAAAATTTATACTCACATACAGATGTATGCATACATTTAAATGTTTACATTAGGAATAAATGTAAGAGACTGTTGTATAAGGTGTGGGAAACCCCTTTTCATAAATCAAAAGCTGTATCACTGTAAAGAAAACAGTCTCTATGATAAAACACAGCGTTAAAAGGCCAAAGATGGACTAAGAAAACTATTTATACTTCATGCTGCATATAACAAAAGGTTATTATCTCAGATGCATTAAAATTTCCTTAAAATGGCAAGCAAAAGACAGCAAAGTACATGAACAGGCAGTTCTGCAGGAAGAAAGCCCATAAGCAGCTGTGTAGATGAAAACGAGACAACCCCTCCCTCCCTATCACGTCCCCATCGTGGAGGAGGTGGGAAGACTTTAGGAGCTAGTGGTCAGGGAAGACAGAAGCAAAGCAGTGTTCTCTGAACATTGTAGAACCACTACACTCATGAACTCACAGTCGCTGTGGCCACCTGCACAAGTCCTATACGGGATCGAATCAGTCACTATTCTAGCATAGAACGGGAAGGGATTCATAAGCTTCCACTCTTGGCTGAGGAGCTTTGGACAATCGAAGGCTTCTGGGGCGGGGGGGGAGTCAGTTCTCTTTAAAGTGGTGGCTCCTGGTAGACTGACCACACTCCAGTAGATGGCACAGCACCAGAGATAGTCAATGGGTTACTAAATTTAAATTACTAAATTTAATAAATGAGGACACAATGTTGGGGTAGGGAAAGAGTGGATTAAGAGAAAAAAATTGAGGGGCTAGAGAGATGGCACAGCGGTTAAGAGCACTGACTGCTCTTGCAGAGGACCCGGGTTCAAT